TCCAGCTTGAGATAAAGATGCGGGTCCCCTCTGTGTGCTGACCCTGAGGAAATACCTCCCAGAAGACTCCACCACAGTGATGCTGGTCTCTGTTACTTACAGCTCATTTTTCAGCCCCAGCAAACCAGCATCAATTGTCCCAGTAAAGCAAAGGGTTTGCTTCAAGTTCTGGTCTCTTCTTAATCACAGCTGATTCTTCAGCCCCAGCCGACCAGAACCCACAGATTCTCAATCCAAAATCTCACGTGAACAGCCCTGATGGTCTCCACCTCCCTTTGAAGCTTCACAAGCCAGGCCTCCATCGTCTACAGCTCTTTCAGCGTAACTGTTCCAAGCTCCACTGCAACAAACTCTGAGCTTCTCCAACCTAAAGTTCCAAACACTTCCACATCCTCCCAAAAACACCAAGGTCAGGTCTGTCACAGCAATATCCCACTCTCTGGTACCAATTTCTGTTCTGGTTTGTTTCTTCATTGCTGTAACAAAACACTCTGACCAATACCAACTTGGGGAGGAAAGGGTTTATTCAGCTTACGTCTCCCAGGTCGCAGTTCATCAGGGAGCCCAAGGTAGGAACTCTGGGCAGGAACCTGGAGCACAGGCTATGGAGGAACACTGCTTACTGGCTTGCTCCCCTGGCCCTTACTTCAGCCTGCTTTCTTATGCAACAGAGGCCCACCTGCCCAGGGGTGGCACCACCCACAGTGGGCTGGGCCCTCCCAAATCACTGATCAAGAAGATGCCCCTCAGACATGGCCACAGGCCAGTCCAACAGAGGCAATTCCCCAATTGAGGCTCCCTCAACCCAAGTGTGTCAAGTTGACACTAAAGCTATCCAGCACACCAGGTAACCACTTTCATCAAGACCAAAGCCACGTCTCTCCAGCACAGCTCCACTGTTTCCCCAAGAAATGAAAGCAAAAGTGATCAGAAGCAGCCGTGCAGCAGGAGAGAACAGCAGCTACTCAGGCTCCCACTTGAAGAGTTTCTCCTGGATGGTGTGTGAGCAACCGTGTGTACACACGTGCATGCGTGTGCACTTACGCATTCTGGAAGAGGTCAAATGTCTTACTCTAGCACTCTCTACCTTTTATTACATTTTTTTACACGTTTGTGTGTGCACAAGTGTGGGGGGCCCTCGTGCCATGGCACACATAGAGGTCAGGGGGCAACTTGCAGGAGTCAGTTCTCTCCTTCCACAATGTGGATCCCAGGGATTGAACTCAGGTGGTCAGACCTGGCCACACGTTTTCCCACCAAGCCATCTTGGTAGCCCGCACTTTTGAGGCAGGGTCTCTCACTGAACCTTTAGCTCATCATCTTGGTTAAACTGGCTGGCCATCTAACACCAGGGATCTACCTTGCTCTACCCCTCAGCATTGTGGTTACAGAGGCACCACACACAGCTTTCTAACCAAGCCATCTCCCCAATCCACCGTTACATACTTTCTCAAGTAAAAGTGGCCCTGTTTTCTCAATGTCTAATATTTCTGAATATTTAATTTACATGCACTAAAAACTATCTTTCCTTCAGTCCCTTCCTTCCCAACTTCTACTGAATGGCACTTTCTTAAGCTGGAGGTTAGCACACTTTTTTCCCCCAAACAGCTAAGATAGTAGTTTCTCCCACTATACAGTGAAAGCAGCCAGAGACACCATGGATGTGGCTGTGTTACAATAAAACTTTATTGATAGGTGACACCCAAGTTTGAATTCACATAATTTTCATGTTACAAATTACTTTTACTTTTTCCAACATTTTAAAGATGTAGGTGCTGGGAGTGCAGCTCAGTAGCAGGAAGCCTTGGGTTCCACCTCAACACTGTGAAAGAAAATGGGAGGAGAACGGGGGAGGGAGAAAAGAAAACCCTTTCTTGCCTCATGCACTGTACAGACAGGAAACAGGAACAAGGTATGCCAGCAGACTGTAGCTCACTGACTTGTATCTGAACCATATCCTCCTGTGTCCTGCTCGAGTTCTGGGATTACAGGCCAAGTGCCATACCACTATACCTGGTTTATGTGGTGCTGGGCCCCAGGGCTCCATGCATGCTAGGCAGGCACTCTGCAACTGAGCCACATCCATCCTTAGCCCCATCAGTCTCACTACTGTCTAGCCTAGAACATACTACATAACCCAGAATCACTTCAGATTGCCAAACCTGCCTCTCAGCCTCCTGAATGCCAGCATGAGGAGCCTCCATGAGGCCCCACTTTACTTCACTTTCCTCTCCATGTCAGCAGCCCCACACTGTTAGTGGCTACTGTCCTGAATCACACAGTACCCAAATCCAGTTACACAAGCATGGGACCTGGACAGCCTGTGTCTCATCTTCACAGTTCTCAGTCTGAGAAGAGCTGGTCTAGGGCACAGTGCTGAGCCAGTTCCACTCTGCTGGTGGGGCTCCTGTTCTGAGACCCCCAATAGGTGCCTGGAATCAGATCAAACACAGGTCTCCAGTTTTCCATGCATGCATACATCCACACCTATGACAAAGTTCAGGTTATAAACTAGGCACACTAAGACTAACAATTATACAGGACTAGTCTAACAATATGCTGATTGAGTTATTTAAAATTTATTAGTCAGGGGGCTGGAGAGATGGCTCAGCGGTTAAGAACACTGGCTGTTCTTGCAGAAGACCCAAGGTTTGAATTCCAACACCCACATGGCAGCTAAAACTGTCAGTAACTCCAGTCCCAGGGGATCAGACAGTCTCTTCTGACCTCCGTGGGCATTGCACGACACAGGTGCACTTACCTACATGCAGGCAATACACAAGTACACATAAAATAATATTTTTATTAGCCAGGCATGGTGGTACATGCCTGAGATCCCAACAATACCAGAGCTGGGAAGGCTGAGACAGGAAGATAGGAGTTGGTCAACCTGAGCTCCAGTGAGACCTTGATTCAAAACCGAAATGGAAGGAGAGAAGGAAAAAAGTTATCAGTTGTTGCTAGGTGTGGTGGCACACACCTTTAATCCCAGCACTTGGGAGGCAGAGGCAGATGGATCTCTGATTAGAGGCCAGCCTGGACTACACAAAGAATTCCAGGTCAGCCAAAAGTTATATACTGAGACCCTGTCTTCAAAACAAAGTTATCAGTTGTTAGTGTTCTAGAATTTACCATTTAAAATCTTCATATTGTGGTTGACTAAATGTAAATGTACAAGAATGGAGGGGGTGACAAACAGTAATCAGGCTCCTCCTGGAACTATATATTCACAAAATACTGATACATTAAAAAACATTAGCAAAGAAGCCCAGCATGGTGGCTCATACCTGTAATCCTAGCACTTGCAAGGCTAAGGCAGAAATGCATATGAGGCCAGCCTGGGCTGCAGAGACAATCTCCAAAAAAGAAAGAAAATATATAGTATGCCATTATCAAAAAGTGTATCATGCTGGATATGGTAGGTAACACCTACAATTAGAGTACTCGGGCAGCTGAAGCAGGTTTCAGGAGTTCAAGGCCAGCACTGGCCCCAGATCAAGTTCTCAGCCAGCCTGTGCAAACACTCTAGAGGTTTATTCCCTCTTCTCACTGGTGGGCAGGCACTCACTCCCCACAGGCCTTCCCCTGCCATCACCTGGTGCCTTCCTCTTCCCAGTTGCTGTAATGAAAGAAGTCTCCACTCTGAAGCTCTTCTGGGCCATGTCTCCCTAAATAGACCCAAACCCCTCCTTCCTGAGGCCCTGGCCCTGTCACCTCATCCCTTCTTTCTAATGGAACATGCACTGTCATGGCCAGCTAAACATTCTCTCATAGAAATTTTCAAATAGAGGAAAGTCTTCTGAAACTCTTTTCCTAGGGGAGTACTACTCCTAGCTCACCGACACTGACAGTGCTAGCCCAGCTGGCAGTAGCTAATACTCTAGGATCGTCTGTCTGGAAACTGAAGTTGGGAGTCACACAGTCTGACCGCCCCCTTGACCGATGGTTCTCAGGGGGTATTCTGCCCATTCATTTATGCAACAAATACTTGCTGAGCACAATGGGATCTGCTTTCAGGAAGCCTCTGCTCCAGGAGGCAGATCCAGGGGAGAACAAGTATAGGCAGACAAGATAACCACCCAAACTGCACAGCTGCTCAGAGGAAACTTCTAGAATGCCTTTCCTAACCTCAAGTTCCTGGGCTTCACCTCTGAGTGAAAGGAGGTACCTTTTCGTCAAGGCAATTAACTGGTTATTGAAGGACTCCTTTGATTAGGAAGCAGGTCCCCTCCTAAGCTGAGTAACCCGCAAACCAGGAGCTCAGTATGGATCCGAAACCAAAGGACTGGCTGACTCCCCTAACTGGATCTGTGGCTGCAGGACGCTGCGCGGGCACCGCTGCTTTTTCCACTAACAACCCTCTTCCCCTAAGTCCTCACACGGGAAAAACAAAGACAAAAAGCCCTTCCATCAGGGCGTGGTCCTCCCCAGACCTAGTGAGAGGAAAGCGCTGCTAAAAATAGCCAGAACCCCCGGAGCATGGGGCATGGGGGTAAGCGGAGAAAGGGCTAGGGGACCTGTCCGCACCTCTTCCCAAACCGGTCCACCAAAAGGGCCGTGCCTCGCCCTCCACAGGGCGGGATCGGATCCCCTGCGAGGGCCAGGGAGGCAGCGCGGGCGCCCAGAGCAGCCTAAACCAAGTGCAGTCCTACTCGGGGAGGCACCACTCTGCCTGGGAACAAGCTGGGTCTGGGGGAGGAGGGTCCTTTCCCGCCTTGCGGTGCAACCCTAGGTAAGTCCCCTAACCTCTCTGGGCTTCCTTCTCGGCGGAGGAGCTGCTGAGGTGTAAAGACCGCAAATGCCCCGCGGATCCCCAAGTCGGCGGCCGGACTCCGGATGTGCGAGGAGCTCCGGCCGTGCCAAGTTTAAACTCTGCCGTGGCGCGCGGCGGGCTGCAGGTCTCGCCGCCCGGCTGATTCCCGGCCCGTCCCAAAGCTCCCGCGCCAGCCCGCTCACCTCTAGTGGCGGGTGTGCCCGGACCAGCTCCCCGGCCGACTGCGGCAGCCGTACTCGCCGTCCCTCCACCAGCAGCGGCATCGCCGAGGCTGCCGCCGGGGCAGGCCCTGGGAGGCGGTGGCCACCCAGCTCCGCCACCACAGCCGCCTCCGGTGCCCCGCCCACCACAGCGAGCCCGCCCCTGCCTTCTGCAAAAGCTGCCGGGAAGTGTAGTCCGATGGAGGGCGTGGCCTGAAGGGAAAGGAAATGCAGAACCGGAGAAGCTTCACGGGAAGTGTAGTCCGGTCTGGAGTCGGAACTGAAAAGGAGAGCGTACAGAATCGGGCTCCAAGGCATCAGTAGATTAGTCCAAGAGCGAAGGCGTGGGATGTGCTCACGGCCAGCCTCCTTCGCAAGGGGCGCCGGGAAATGTAGTCCCAGAAACGTGGACAAGCCATGGAAAGGCGAGCAGCGCGCTTTGACAGACACTTGGCGTTGGGGTCCTCACCCGCGGCCTGGCGTCGAATCCCTGTTCTGCCACCACTCTGACGCATGACTGGTGCAGCTTTCGCTCTGGGGCCCGCTGTGTTGCTTCGCAGGATTGTATCTAATTAACGTAAACCGTCTCCTGCAGGGAAAACATCCCAAACTGTTGCTAGCCCCACAGAACTCATCAGGAACATATGGGTTTGAGGACCCAGCAGGCCCTGGTCGAGGAAAAACTAGCCCTCTCCGGAGTCTGGGAAGCATTAGCAAACATTACGCCTCAGAGCACGGAAAGAAAGGGTAATGGCCCCAGAGACGGTAGTAGAAGGCCCGCTCCGCGAGCTGGGACCTGAGAGACTCATCTGCATCCTTTTCCCCATAAGCCTCCGCCTGAGCGTCCATGCCCACAACAGAAAAAGTAGGACTAAAAGTGACCACAGGAGGTAGCTCATGGCGTCCTCTGTTAGCCAGCTTCTCACCCAAACACTCGATTTCTGGATATTAGGAAATAACTTATCACACCTGACTTTTTCATTTGTTTCTTGCGCAATGAGGAAGCAGCACCTATATTCTTAAGACAGCAGTAATTTGGCAAAGTCATACATATCTTCCACGTGGCAGGGATAAGCCTAAATCCTGTTTTGTGTGATTCCAAGCCAGTGCTATCGCCTGAATATAGTCTCAGACCAGACACTAGAACTGTAAATAATACAGGTAAAATTAAATTCCAAGTACGAAGGTCTGGGTAGTCCCAGGACTGGGAAGGCTGAGGCATGAGGAAATTGGGAGGCCTGAGGTCACTGCATAGCTCGGTGCGTTAAGAGCACTAGCTGTTCTTAGAGAACATATGGGTTTAAATCCCAGCCCCTCACATAGCGTGGCTAAAACCCTCCATAACTCCAGTTCCAAGGGATCAGATACCCACTTCCGGCCTCTGAACACTTTGCACAACAAGGGTACATTTACATACATGAGGGTAATACATATAATAAAAATAAATTTTAACCAACCCACAGAGTGGGAGTGGAGGTTGGAACCAGGTGATCAATAACCACCTGTGCAACCTTAAGCAATTTCCCCTTAGGAATAATTGGAGACTTATCTGGCAGGTGGTAAACACTCGGTAAAGACCATTATTACTAGAATTGCAAAGTATGGTCAACAAATGTTGAGTTGGACTCAGCCTAGAACATTCTGCACGCTCCACATCCCTTTCCCACTGAGCCACACCCCCCAGCCCAGTCAAGCATTTCGGCTCTGTGGGTTTTACCTGGAGCTAATACAGATTGCTTTCACAAACTGGTTTTTAGCTTTTAGATAATTTTTCACCCACAAGTTAACTTCAGGTTTATGACTATTAGCTTGAGCCACATAACAAGTAGGAAATTACCTTGCCTATTTACTCATCATCCCACACCCACAAAACTGATCCTTTAATTAAGGAGTGGCTTCAGATTTCTAAATTTGGACTGACTGCAAAGCCTGTTCATCTACCTCTAAAACAGATGAATGCTTACCCTGCCAGCCACCAGGACTGAACTGTAAGGGTCAGACAGTATAAACAAGGAAGTTACTATTTGTTTTTAGACAAGGTCTAACTATGTAGCCCCTGGATAGCCTGGAACTCTATGTAGACCAGACCAGCCTCAAACTCAAAAGATCTGCCTCCAGAGAGTTAGAAGTAAAGGTGTGCAATATCAGCAGGAAATGATTTCTAAACTGCAAAGTACAAGTGGTAGTGAGATGGTTCAGTGGGTAAAGAGTGGGGCACCAAGCCTCACAACCCAAGTTGGATCCACACAGTAGAGAGAACTGACTCCTACAAGTTGTGCTCTGACCTTCCCATGCATGCACCTGCACACACACACACACACACACACAGAAAAATGTAAAAATTACAAAGGATATCTGGTAAAATATGTAGCAAGACAGAATGGGTTTAACTACATAATAAAATATAATTAGATAACATAAAAAGCAATTGACCAGAGGGGAGGGGTAGAGGGAAGTTGGTAACAGGTACCAAAACAGCAATAGGTTCCAGTGTTCACAATACAGTACTTACTGTAGTTTACATCAAACATAAGTCTATGTACCTATAGAAAGTGTTTTGGTTTTTGAGACAGAGACCCACTCTGCACCTCAAAATGGCCTGGAACTCACTGTGTAGCCTGGCCTAGTTTTGAATTTAGGACAGTTCTCCTCCCAAGTATTACAATTATGGCTTTTTTAAAATAAAAAGAATTGTGTGTGTATGTATGGGTACTTGTGTGCAGGTGCCTGTGGAGGGCAGAAAAGGGCATAAAATCCTCTGGAGCTAGAGTTACAGGTGGTTGTAAGCTACCCAATATGGGTGCTGGGAACTGAACTTCAGTCCTCTGGAAGAGTAGTGTATGCTCTTAAAGGCTCAGTCATCTCTCCAGCCCCCAGATTATGGTTTTTGGATTATATAGTTTATACAGAACTAGAAGGCAGGAGTTTGAAGGTTCCCTAAAAAAAGAGACAAACGCTTAGGGGAATTCCTAAGCTGCCTTAATTTACCTATTACACACTACATACATACATATATGTATCACACTTTCATGTCCTCCATCAAGACGCACAATTTTAAAAATTTGAAGTGTGGCTCAATAATAACTCACTTGTCTACAAAGATCTGATGATCCATTCCCAGCAGTGCAAAAAAAAAAATTATGCAGCATTATGTCTTTGTTTCTTCATTGCTGTGACAAAACACTGACCAATACCAACTTGGGGAGGAAAGGGTTTATTTAGCTTACATCTCCCGGGTCACAGTTCATCCAGGAACCCAAGGTAGGAACTCAGGGCAGGAACCTGGAGGCAGGAGCTGGAGCACAGGCCATAGAGGAATGCTGCTTGCTGGCTTGCTCCCCTGGCCCCTGCTCAGCTTGCTTTCTTATGCAACACAGGCCCACCTGCCCAGGGGTGGCACCACCCACAGTGGGCTGGGCCCTCCCACATCACTCATCAAGAAGATGCCCCTCAGACATGGCCACAAGCCAGTCCAATAGAGGCAATTCCCCAATTGAGGCTCCCTCAACCCAGGTGTGTCAAGTTGACACTAAAGGTATCCAGCACAAATCCCAAAGTTCTAAGTGTAACTGTACAATCTATATAGTCAGATACTAAAAGCTAGGCACGGTGCCTTAAGCCTAGAATCCTAGCTACTAATGAGGTAGAAACAGGAGGACCACAAGTTCAAGGCCTCAGATAGTTGCAGACTGAAATACATTGAACAATGAGTCCCAGTGCTGAGCCACAGATGATCAATTTTGTTTTTTAAAAGTAGCCCCTTGCCTGGGGTATGGCTGGCTGGTAGATTTTCTCCCGTTCTGTGGGCTCTGCTCTGCTGGTAGCTTCCTTTGCTGTGCAGAGACTTGAATTTCATGTAGCCCCATCTGTTGATACTTGGGACTAGTTCCTGTGCTATTCACAGAGTTCTTGCCTATTGCAATGTATGGAATACTATTCTTTGTTTTTTGATAACAGTTTCCACATTTCTTCAGTTTTTAAATTAAGGTCAATTCATTTCCAATAGGTTTTTGCACCAGGTGGATGACAGGAATCTTAATTTCACTCTCTTGCAGGATATCCAATTTTGTCAGCATTATTTGTCAAACAAGCTTTTTACAATGTATGTTTTTGCGTCCTTTGTCAAGAACTAAGTGGGGACCAGGCATGGTGCCACATGCTTTTAATCCCAGCACTTAGGAGCCAGAGGCAGATGGATCTCTGTGAGATCAAGGCCAGCCTAGTGAGTTCCCGGCCAGCTAAGGCTGCAGGGAGACCCTGTGTCCAAAATAAAATAAAATAAAATTAATTAGGTGGACATGGCTTTGCCGGTTTATTTTCAGGTCTTATGTTGTTTCAAAGGCTCACCTGACTTTTTATGCCAGTACAAGGCTTTTTATCACCAGAGCTCTGTGGTGTAATGAGGTCGGGTACTGTGGTACTTTCACCTGTGCTTACCCCTTGTTTTGGTTATCTGTGGTCCTGTGGTTCCATACTAACTCTGATTGTTTTTTCAAGATCTGTGAAATAAGACATTGTAATTCTGATAGGTATTACATTAAATGTGTAGATTAATTTTGGTCATATAGCCATCTCACAATTAACTCTGCTAATCCACGAGCATGGAAGGTCTATCATCTCATATCTTCCATGACTGCTTTTTCAATTTCTTACAAAGTTTTCATTGTAGAGGACTTTTTCTTTGGTGAAGTGAATTCGTATTTTTTTTTCTTTTGGGACTATTTTGAATGGAATATGTTCCCTAAATTCTTTCCCTTATATTGCTTTTTTTTTTTTAAAAAGAAGTATTGATTTCTATATCCTGCAACTTTACTGTGTTTATTAGACCTAGGTGTCTTCTAGTAGATTCAAAAAGGTCTTTATAAAATCATTTCATCTGCAAACAGGGAGTTTGATAGTATGCAGAATTACGTTGTAGAGCAGGGGCTGGTGCTTTACATGCACACAGCCCTATCTACATTCAACCCCACCAGACACACACACCCCTCATTAAGAATGCAGTTGTAAATCAAGCAACACCTCTGAATTAGGAGGAGGCAACTGGGCAATGACTCAATTATGGTTCAGTGGGCATGGCCATCCATTTTCAAAGCACTCAAGGGGAGCCTTGTGGACACCACAGTTTAGAGCCACCAACTGTAAGCTGCTCCCTGACCCTTC